AACACTTACTTCAAGTTGCTAGGGCATTACTTTTTCATGCTCATCTACCTCTCATTTTTTGGATTGACTGCATTCTTGCAGCTGCACATATTGTTAATAGGGTCCCAACTCCTGTTTTGAATAACAAATCCCCTTTTGAGGTTCTGTTCAGTAAAATACCTACATATGATCATCTCAGAACAGTTGGATGTTTAGCATATGCATCTACTCTCACATCTCATAAATCAAAATTTGATGCAAGAGATTCAAAATGCATACTTCTTGGATATCCCATAGGTTGTAAAAGTTATAAACTTTACAATCTTGATACCAATAAAACATTTATTTCCATGCATGTGCACTTTTATTAAGATGTGCTCCCTTTTCATTCTACTACTCAATCAAATAGCCTATTTCCACATGCTCCTTCTTTTGGTTTCACAGATGACAGACTTTCTAAACAGCCTTTTACATCAGATCCACCTGATATTAGTACTCAACATACTTCAAATCCTGATACCTCTTTACAAATCACAGTACCTGATTCTATACTTGATCCACCTCATGTTTCAGAACAGATTCCAACCTACAACATTCTCCTCTCCAAAACAGATCACAACCTCAAACACAACCTATAAGAAAATCCACTAGAATTTCCATACCACCTTTTTACTTGAACATATATAAACACTCTTTACCTTCCTCGTCTTCTTCTAACACATCGTACAACACATCTGGAAAACGTTCTAGATATCTTATTTCTTCTTACTTGTCTACTACTCAACTGTCAGACTCTCATAACTTTTTCACAGCTTCTATCTCAGTAAATACTTAACCTAAAACCTATGCTCAGGCTGTTAAGGACCCTTTATGGCAATCTGCAATGAAAAATGAGCTTGATGCATTAGATCAAACCAACACTTGGATCCTAACTGATTTGCCTAGTGGTAAACATTGTATAGGGTGTAAATGGGTTTACAAAATAACGTATAACTCTGGTGGCACCATGGAATGGTATAAAGCTAGGCTAGTAGCTAAGGGCTATACCCAAGAAGAAGGCATTGGTTACTTTGAAACCTTCTCTCCTGTGGCTAAAATCACCACTGACAGATTCTTAATAGCCTTAGGATCCATTAAAAAATGGCATCTACATCAATTAGATGTCAATAATTCCTTTCTACATGGTGACCTAGATGAGGAGGTATACATGAAACCCCCACCAGGTTATTGCTCACCCTCTGACAATAGGGTTTGTAAACTCATTAAGAGTCTTTATGGCCTTAAACAAGCCAGTAGACAATGGTTTCAAAAACTCACCTCTTGTTTACTAAACTATGGTTTCAAACAGTCTACAGCTGATTGTTCATTGTTCACTCTGTTTAATTCTGAAACATCTTCATTTATGGCCTTATTTGTATATGTTGATGATGTGATTCTTGTTGGTAACAATATTGATGATATCACTACCATTAAACATCATTTGCATTTTTGTTTTACTACCAAAGATTTTGGGAAACTCAAGTACATTTTAGGTTTGGAATTTTCTCATTCTGACAAAGGCACAAATATGTGTCAAATAAAATATGCCTTAGATATTCTTGTTGATACTGGTGTTTTAGATTCCAAACTTGCTTCTACTCCTATGGCTGCTTCTTTAAAGTTAACTAATGCTACTGATTCTTGTGAACTCACTGACAGTACATAATACAAAAGACTAATTGGTAGGTTACTTTACTTAACTATATCCAGACCTGACTTATCTTACAGTGTTCGATGTCTTAGTCAGTTTTTATCAAAACCGACAAAAATTGCACTTATCTGCTGCACACAGAATCTTGAGATACATCAAAGGTACAGTGGGTTCAGGTATTTTCTTTCCCAAACAGTCTTCTTTACAATTGCAAGAATATTGTGACAGTGATTGGGCCAGCTGCCTATATACAAGAAAAAGTGTTACTGTTTTTTAGGCAACTCTATTATATCTTGGAAGTCTAAAAAGCAAAATACCATTAGCAGGTCTTCAGCTGAGGCTGAATACAGGCCTTAGCAGCCACCTTATGTGAAATCCAATGGCTTATTTACTTACTTTATGACTTTCATATCTCTCATTGTTCTTCAGTTCCTCTATTTTCAGATAGTCAATATGCCATGGCCATTGCTACAAACTCAGTATTCCATCAAGCTTCACTACATTCAACTAGATTGCCACTTCACTAGAGAAAACAATTGCAGAGGGTCTCATCAAGCTTCACTACATTCCAACTACTGACCAGATTGCGGATTTACTTACAAAGCCTTTACCTAAAAGCAACACATTCGAATTAAATAAGAAGCATCTATGAAATGTTAAAAAATCACACCTTTCACGCGTCCGCCGGTGTCCTACTTGTTCTTTGCTACACCACGCATCCGGCGGTGAAATTACTGCTCGAAACCTTGTTGTTGCTGCCGTCGTCGCGCACCAATTTATTATAGAGACCAATTTTTTTTCCTCAAGAAGAATATGAAATCGTAGCAGTAACGATGAGTATGATTTTATTTGTCATATTGTTTTGCTTGATTGATCTAGTTGCCTTCTATGTGACTATTCAGTTTCCCTAAAATCTGCATTTATCATAATACAAGGATACTCAAGA